CATATTATAACATCGACTGAGATAAAGAATAAAATGAAATATTAAAAACACGATGTATCTCGCTGCATTGCGCGAGTACTCTTCTAGTATATATATATATATATATTAATTTCAGGTGTGACGAAAAATATCAAACTCAAGAGTGGAGTTGATTGTTATAACCAAATCACCTGAGCTTCCCTGGCTACAGCATCCATCTCAGCCAGAACAGCTGCTTTTGCTCTTGGATCATTGCATAGTTGTCCTAAATCATCATACTGCAAACACACACAATCCATTACAACTTTGTTATTTTTACCCGTTAATATTCTCATTTCGTGGGTTCCATTCATATGGCAGGAGAAGAGATAAAGATATTTAATGTAACTGCGATTTACTCGAGGTGGCTCCATTGATTTACCTGAGAGCTTTTATATCATTTTGGGGTGATGAACAGATTATGCTAGTGTTTTGACTGAAAAGAGTAGCAGAACTGAAAGTACCTTTATGCCCTCAGATGCAGCCCACTCCTTCATTACATCTGGATCTACGGAGATGATAGCTACCAAAGATGAGTTAAAGCTATCACCTATTACACCAGAAATGAGACAGATCAGTGTGTTTCAATAAGCAAAACAACGGTGTTTACAAGCACAATGACTGATCTTCTTACCATATATAAAACACTGAGCAATAAATTTACATTTGGCATATACATTTTCAATTTTATCAGGTGCTATATACTCTCCTTGTGCCAGCTTAAATATGTTCTTTTTCCTGTCACAAATATAAAAAAAATAACTTCAGATAAGTTACTGAAAGCCAGCATGAAGTTGTTATTCTAAAAAGGGAATAAGATCAGGAAACTATACCCACAATCATAAAATTACAGTATTGTCTTGCAAATAAAGATGGGAGAACACTTATTCTAGTCAAAGCAAAACAAAAGCATCATCTTGTTACGAGTTAAAGTTCTAACCAGGGATATGTTTGGCAAACTAGGTGTTGGCTGATAAGGTTCATTCATAAGCTAATTGATAAACCAGTCATATTTTGTAAAAACAGTTAACAAGTTAGATGATAATGTAAATGACCTAAAAGAACATGTTTAAAAAATGAATTAGGAAAATGTAAGGGGCGTAATTGGAAAAAAAAAAAACCTGAAATGCTCCTTGAAGTAGCTTTTCAAAAAAGCTAGCTTATGGTTGCCAAACATGGCCTAGGTCACTATCCAACCTATGCATGTAGCATCAAAAAGTTTAAAGCCCATAAGTAGGTTCGTATACATGATCTCCCGGGTGTGAAACAATTTTCCATTTTCTCCACACGTTCAAGATGCACGTAATGCGAAGTACAAATAAGTTTGCATCAATAAAGAAGATTAGAAAGCCCATATTATGGAGTTGAGTGATCCCAGCAAAAATAAGCATTCATAAATTAGATGTTAACTATGGAGAAAGTCTTTCTGCATTCAAGGGTACTTACACTTTAGCTAACAATTATTCTTAGGTTTTAACAAAAATCCAGGGTTACCTGTCAATAATCTTAAGGCGACCTCCAGGTAACCATGTCCCGATATCCCCTGTATGAAGCCATCCCTTATCATCAATTACTTCTCTTCTGCACAATTATGTCAAAGTTGAATCAGTTCAACCAATACTTGAAATTTGTTTCCATAAAAGAAAATAAATTATACTAATTACGAACGTCTGCACTTCATCTTTGTAGTAGCCCTGGAAAACAATGGGCCCCCTAACACAGATTTCTCCTCGAGGGTGAGGTTGATCATCAGAGGTATAATTCATCTCAGGAACATCAGCAAGTTTTACTTCTGAAAAGAAACTCACCAAAAACTAAAGTTAGGACAAATTAGATCCTACCGATAGTTTATATAAAATTGAACTCTTGCTAAGTTGAAATCTAGTTCTTCCATATCCTAAGATTTCCCCATAACAAAGTGTCGAGATTTTTCAACTGATGTTCTTTCATAATGTTTAATTTAGGCCGGAGAATGATCCATATCAGACGACTAAAAGCTAACCATTGTATGTAGCATTATTTTAACTTTAGATGTACTTTATGACATTAAGAAAAAAGAACAATTCTTTGTTCATTTTTCTTTGAAAAAATATTTTACCAACTTGCTCACATGATTAGTGCATATATATCCCCCTAGGTAAACTTGCTCATGGAGTTTTCAAGTATGGTAATAAGAATCAAATAGAAGCAATTCAACTGCTTTGTTTATGATTTTGTTGTTTGTAACAACTTCTTAAGAAATCTGACAACTGCCTAATAACCTTTAGAAGTAGCCAACAGTCCAACCACGGGGATCAGGCAGACCTTCAGTACATGATTAAATTGCTCCTTCTAAAATATAAAATCTTCAAATTCAAATGTTGATTATATTTTTTGTATACAGTCACTTATCTAAGTAATTAATTGCACTGCTTCATGTTCCTCAATGTTCAACAGATTAGTTGTTTCAGAAAAAGACCAATAATTTTAATTTTTAAAAACCCGCTTTTTTATCTTGGAAATAATCACAGTCGGCTAATTTGCATCCAGGCATATAACTATGCATGATAATAGTTCTAACTGCAAAAAAATATTTAAGGTACAAACATAGAAAGCTGATCCTAATTCGGGAAGAAATATGTCCAAATTTGGCAGAATCCAATTTTTACAAGACCGTTTGATTTATTAATCAAATTGAAAGGGTAAACTGGTTAATTTCATTATTCGGAAAGATTATTTCAACAACTAGTTGCTACTGCAAAGGTGAAGTTTCATTTAATGGCTAGGCGATCGATTAAGCAGCAATAAGAAGGGATTTTGTAACACAATTGATGAGGTGCTGAGAAATGTAAAGCAGGCATAAGAAATTCCCCGCAACTTATGGAATGCAAGTAAAGATATGTATGACCATGTGGTAGAGAGATCAAAAGCATGTAATTTGCTTTATTACCCTAGGGTTATGGCAGAAGAAAGACATTCAAGATGATACATCATGGTGCAGGTTTTTCACTAATGACATAATGTTGATAGATAAGACTACACAAAGTATTAGTGCAAGTTTGAAGGTCTTAAAGAACACTATTTGGAATCTATATATTTTAGATTAAGCCAAAGTTACAAAAAAAAACAAGCATATAGATTGCAATTTCAGCAATGCTATCGGGGCAAGAAGTGGTTAGGAAGGATATCTTCCAATATTTGAGATCAAAAGGATGAAGAGATTGATGAGGATGTTAGTTATAGGATGGTAAGCTGTACATAGAATGTGACAAGCTCTTGTGTCGAGTGTGATTGTAAAATTCCATCGACGCTGAGGATAAACTTCTATAAGATGGAGGTAAGACCTGCAATAATGTTTTGGGCAGCTATTGGGCAAAAAGAGAACGTCTACACAAGATCAGTGAATTAGAGATGCAGATGTCGAGGTGGATGTGTGGCCACACACGAAGGGAGTATATGGAGCAAGAAGGTTGCATTGCTTAAGTAAAAGTTGAGGCAACAACGGTTTGACCATCTCATGTTTAGACTATTATTTAATAAACTAAAATTCCATGAATATTTCTGTTGCATGCTATGAGCACCTATTCCCTTAAACTTCTATGAGTATTTCATGTTGCATCACTGGATAAAGTAATGGTACTAATTTCCTTTTAGCTTGACTTTTGCACATGAATGGCACAGAATGCCCCTAATGAACATTCGCCATACAAAAGATTTTGTAAAATTCCAATAGCAGGTGAATTGCATCCAGTATGGTTCCCTCTATTTATTTAGTAAATCTTTTTCTTATCTTATGCCCAGTTCTTTTCTTCTGCCCATCCCTATCTTTAACACTAGGAGTTATTTAATTACACATCTGCATTTCCTGGTTATTGATAAATACAAATAAAAAAAACTCACCACATGCAGGATTAGGAGAACCAACATGACCAGACAAGTTATCACCATCCTCCATGATAGTTATAACACAGGAAGTTTCCGTCATACCATAGCCTTCAATAACCGAACATCCAAAGCATCTGCCAAAATCATTATGCGTGTTGGACTATGATAAGTGATTATTATTAGCACAGTAGATGATAGATTAATGACAAAGAAAGAGGTGCAGCAGTGTGTTAGATGATTAACTTACACTCTTAAAAAGTCCATGATATCAGGAGATAAAGGTGAAGCGCCTGAGCCCATGAAACGGACCCGTCCTCCAAGTTTTGCCTTTATTTTATTGAATACCAGTCTATCCCAAATTGGTGATGGTTTCCGACCTAGACCACATACAAGAGATTACTAATATGGTTGACATCAGAAAGTTTCATTTTCATAATACTTAAATGTGGCATATGTACATGAAAATTTCATTATTTGCATTATCTATGCCACATCAACTCTATCTTGCAGTCTTGCACTACAAATGATAAAGATAACCTATGAACCTTATGCAACAAAATGGAGGATCCAGCACTGACAGTAAACTGCCCTTGTTACCAGGGATGAGTCAGCATAATTTAATGTTAAAAGGTATTAGCACACACAAAAACCTTTAACGGAAGTGCAAAGCTAATCCAATAAACTTCTTTAAGAGAATCAGAAAATAAATAAATGTATTCTAGAAGAAAAGATAATCATTCATGAGATAACTGCTTTACGTGCTTCCGTACATTGCATGAGCTAAGACAGTAGACTATTACCCCGCTCTCTAATTATCTTCTTATTTGTACTCGCTTCTATACATTTTTCACAATGTGCACTAATGTTCTGTCTAGAATAAATTACAAAGACCCCAAGAAGTATGATATCATACACGAAAGAAGCAGATCCGCATCATATATTGATCAAAATGGTATGTTTCTAGTGTCTAGATCAATTAAAGTTGCCTAATTTTGCACCAAGTCAGCAATAATCAATACGTTGACAAGAATGGCAGGTACAAATGTTTGCAGAGCAAGGGGAAGGAAATTATATACATATAGAGATCAAGTATGCATCATAAGATTGTATTAATGAACAGTTTCCATCGAAAACCTCTACTCATGTGGACATACCGCTCATCATTGCCTGCTTCTTGGAATTATATGCAGCCTTAAATAGTCTTTGCTTTAAAACCCCAGATGTGTTTACAGCATTTATAATCCTACACAAAGCCAACACAGCAAAGTTAATATATAACAAGTAGAACATGGTCTTATTAGCTGTTCCAAATGGCTCTAACATTTAGGTTTCGGCATAACAAGGCTTGCACTGTCTTTCCGCACTTAGGTGTCCGTCAAAGGATTCGGAAGTACGGGATTACCTGTGGTTCAATTTATCATGTTCGATAAAACCTTTCGTGCCAAGAACTGATCCAGCCCAGGTTTGAGCATCTCCCTAGCCTACCTACTTTCGAAGCTATCCTTTTTTGCGTGGGGGCTAGGGTGAGCTGGGGGGGACAGCGTAAGTGAGCAAATGTGTGTAAGCCCAGTCAAACGTAACTGTTCTAGGCGGGGTGGGAGCGCCCACCTTCAAATGGTGTGGTCCTACAACTGGACTTAACGAAATTCAAATCACTCTCTAGTTGGGGCGGGACACTGCGAGGTGGGTAGTTTATCTGGGGCGGATGCCTCCTAAAGAGTAATGGAGGTGTGAAGGTAGGCTCAAGATAAGATTCTGCACGTGAGCGTAATGGTATAAGCAGAACTCAGCGGAGTATGCAATTAACACCATCTCTGCTGATTACTTGGTTATCCAAACAAGGATAAGCTTCCACCGCCGGCCCTTCTTCTTCTGGCACAACGCCAGCGTTGGACAGTTGTCCCGCGGCCGCAGCCTCCCAACAAGCTTCTCCACTTCCTTTCATCTGCTTATACGAGAAAGGCCTAAACATAGCCTTGGAAGAGGCATCTACTTCTGATCTAAAGACGGATTGATAATCACCTATAAGCTAGACTAGAGCGAATACGAATCTAAGAGCAATGCGCTAGTCAACCTAGTAGGATTGGGTAGGTAAATTAAGAAGGGGTGGCCCTGTTCAAGATGTCATCAAAAAAACCAGTAAAAATTTCCTCATATAATCCATACCCAGCATATATTCTATTGTAGAGCCGAGGAACGCTGCAAAAAATTGTTGGTCTTAGAACAGCCAAGTCATCAATCAATTTCAAATTATCCTGCAGAGAAGAGAAACTAGTATCAGACCGAACTAATACCAGTTTGACCTGCAACCGACCTCTTCAATTTGATATTTGTTTGATATATATTAACTAAATATGTGCCACATACCCCCTGGTAAAAACCAATAGCAACACCGCAGTATACTGCCATAATTTGGTTAGCTCGCTCGTAGATATGTGCCAGCGGAAGATAAGATATGTAACTGTTGAGATAAACAAAGCACAATAACTAAGAGAAAGAATGAAGATAATCAATAAGTTTGGTTAATAAAAGAAAAGCACACATGTCTGAGGAGTAGAATTTGACTGGCAGGCTCATGGCTGCAACACTTGAAATCAAGTTCTCATGTGTAAGAACAACACCCTGTACATAGCAAAGACATAAAGTAACATATCAATAGCCTGTAAACATTCAATGTAAAACCAATTAAAAATGCTACCTTTGGCGTTCCAGTAGTACCACTCGTGTAGCATATGGTTGCAACATCTTTAGCCTTTGGAGGGCAAGTAGGATGAGGATTACTATGACCCTACAAGATTATCAATTATAATGAACATAAGATATTAGATAAGTGCACATCTATGAATGATCAGCAAGAGAAAAATAATAGTTGCAATCCTATCTGTCATACTGGATAACACTGCAGAACAAGAATGATAAACATTTGAGTTGTGAAAGATGTATGTGAGGATGATGTAGCTTGCCATTATGTTTATGTTTTCTTGTGCCTGCTTTTGTTTGTCTGTTTGTATGTTGTTGATTCTTCTAAAAAATTCAAAATTTAGCCTATTTGCCTTTCTTATTCTCAAGTTCCTTTTGAATGTTCTTATTTTCTATTTCCAGCACACTTGGCACAAGCTGGGGTCTTCATGGAAACAGCCGCTCTACTCCCTAGGGTTTGGGTAGAGGTAAGGTTTGCGTACATCCCACCCTCCCCTCACCTCCACCCCCAGATCCTACATCCTACCTTTATCCTTGTAATTTTTTATTTGTTTTATCCCCATGTTCTCTCCCACCTCCTTTTAAGAGTTTATTAGGTGGTATAACTTCCAGAAGTCATAGCATGACCCCATGATCATTCCCCCTTCCTTCCAGTGTTGTAATATTTATGCAAAGACATAGATCATTTCACTTTTTGGTTTCTCTATTCACCAACCAGGCCCTCAAATTACTAAGTTTATCCAGATTATGATGAGGAACCATTATAAACTATAACCTTAGCATTGCCTCAAGTGCATCTGACTTACTATCATATCACTACCCTTAACGTATGATGGAAACCACAAGCCTAGCCAACAACATTAATTAGCAGTTGACTTTTGTTTAACATTACACTGGGAATAATTTTTGTAAATTTTTGTAAGTTTTACATGATATTTAAACAAACAGCCTCCTTTAGACTAGCAGGTAATGTACAAATTCAACCAACCTGACTGAGAAGTTTTGAATATGATAAAAGTTGAACACCGGATGTCGCCGGCAGGGAGGGAAGGTGTTCATCTGCCCCTCCCACTACCTGCAATATGGTAGAACAAGAGGAAAACAATTTAATAATATAGCAATACCATCTCTTATAACCAATAAATCTAAATTTACAAAGAGGTTTTGAAACATACCACTATAATGCGTACACTATTAATTTCAGATAAGAAGCTCAGCAACTGCAAGTTGAGAAAAGATTTGTAAGTTGCCATTCCACATAAAAAATAAACAAATAGAAAGTTCATCTATACTGACATGATCCAACTCCATGTCAACTCCCACTACCTTCTCCTTTTGAATCTTTATTCAATTTAGTTTCTCTTTTTTCAAATGGTCTGCAAATGTAATATTGCAATGATGGTTTCATCAATGTGGTGGGCATAGATCAAACTTACAATGTTCAATGTACTTGGCACACAAAAGACGGCTTGTAAATCAGCATGATTTATGATATACTTAACAGCATCAGGACCTGCAGAAGAAGCAGAGTGGTTATGAACTCGCTAAAGATTTACATCATACAGAAGATTTATGACAGCACACTTACACACCAAGAGTGTCATATAAAGGCACCGAAACATACGAATACGCTGAACAGGCATGATCCACAACCAACCACTCCGGTCTATTTATAAAATAAAGTCCAACACATGCTCCCTGCTCCAAAAAAAAATAACACAAATAATGTGATTACTTGACCATGTGGATGCAAATGAAAGTACAAATTCATATGACGTTAAGTAACATGCATGGAAGGGCACATTCAGAACAACCAGGAAACTGTTACTCACTTTGGATAATCCATGATAATGCAGGCCAGATCCGATTGCAGATCGAGCAGTGGCTGTTTCTCCATACGTCATCCATTTGTACCTTCAGTTACATATCAAACATGTTGATAAGCTAGTGTACCCTCTTGTCAACATGGAATGGAACATGGTGAATTAACGGTAAACTTACTCTCCAATGTTCCCATCTTCTCTTACACGTGAACCTAAGTACTTGTAATCTGGGTATGTGTCAACTGCATGCCTGAAAATACAATATTATTTGGAACCAAGTTTACTGATTTAGGTGTAAATCCTGATGTGAAAGTACTTTATAAGATTACAATTTACAAGGAAGGTAATGATTCAATTATGTTACAAGCATCGTTTTAAAAAACGTTAGAGGTGTGCGCCTCAAAAGCGCCTTGAGGCGAGGCGTCCAAATTTCCTTTGTGAGGCGACGCCTCCTTCTCCTCTCATGGGGCGTACGTGTTAAATGTGTAAGGTCAAAGGGTGAGACAGGCACACTCTCTGTTAAATAGAGTCACGTGGGTCTATTTTGTATATATTCAAGTACATAGTGGTGTCCAACTGTCCATAAGTTAAACATCAGTAGCACTTATTTCTAAGTGCTTTATTCCTTCTCTTCTCACACAATCATAAACATACATGTATATAATTTTTTCTTCTCCAATCAGTCCTGGAATACAATAGTTATATATATATATATATATATATATACTTTTTTTCTTCTCCCACTTAGTGTTGGAATCCAACAGTGTGGACTTGTAACATATATACTATCCAGTGTATATTAGTATTATATACATATGTTCTAAATTTATTTCTGTTTCCTGCTTCGTGAACATACATATATTCTGAATTATTTCAAACTTATATATATAGATAGATATGCTGTTTTATGTACATATCTGTTTATACATATATCGTACAATCTGTTTATATATATATATTCTGTATAAGCTGTTCTCTATATATTTATATATTATAATTATAATATATAAATATATATTTTGATTTATGTACATATTTTTGACTTATAACAAGTAGTTTTATTGAATTATGGGCTTTATAGTTTACTTATTTGGCATGGAACTATAAAATTATGTTTTTTTACAAGTGTTAGGATTTATGAATTTTATTCTTTTAATTTTTGGGGCTTACGCCTTGACCGCCTCGAGGCGCGTTTTCATTCTTTAAAACCTTGGTTACAAGCTCTTAAGTTAAGTAAAACTAGTAAAACATAAAGCTAACATAGAGGGTCACAATATGTCAAGCAGTGTGCCTAGGGGAGAAGATTGTGATGCTTACACAAAGTTCTCATGTAATGTTTCAATCTCGGGATGATCAGGGAATCTGGTGACAAGCTTTAATGGAGAACGGGCAGATCTGCCAGGAATCAGATTTGTGAGATGCCAGTTATATCAACACAGAAAAATAAGGGAAACTATAACATTGCAGAATAATTGACGTGAACAGAGAATATCTAAAGACCTGTAAACGTTCCACTTTCCTGACTTCAGTTCTTCAGGAAGAACAGCACTATATCTCTGATCTGGAGAATGCATGAACAAATCAGCAAAACATGGTAAATAATAAAACAATAACAAGGGAAAAACAAGGCGATATCTAGATGCTAGCCCTCCCCTCCCCCCTTCCCTTTTACCTATGAAAGGAACTACCAAAGAAGAACAAAATTACACAAAGAAGAAAATCTTAGAAGGTTGCAAAAAGAGCTGCTAAAGCTTTCAAAACTGTTTCATTCCCGGAATATCACATCAGATCAATCTCGACCTTGCCATATATGTTTCTCTGGCAAGCTAGACAGAAGATTAAAGAATCCCCAATCACCAGCATCCACCCTCCATTCCTCTCTCTCTCTCTCTCTCTCTCACATGTTCACATGTACATAATTGTTTAAGCACCTGGCTATGATGACATGATGTTTCATTCCCACTGGCAGAATTAATATTTTAGCTTTTACCTTGGCTCACTTGTTGCAATTACAACCTTTGGCTTAGACAGACATGTTGTAATATTCGGGTTTCAAGTTTTGATTTAAGATTTTTGGAACGAATATATATATATATATATATATATATATATATAGATAAATATATATGTGTGTGTGATAGGAATGTGTGAAGTGTGTGTTAGTGATTAGGATGTGTATAAGGGAAATGGGGGGGGGGTCGGCTGGAGGCACCGCCTACCTCATTTCCTTAGTGCTATAAATAGAAATTTTGAATTGGATGAAGAGTTTTACACACACTCTATATTTGGAAAGTTTTCTTTGTGAATCATACGGATTGCAAGAAGAGAATTCAAAGCTTGGACATTCGATTTCTAAGGTGAGTGTATTACACTTTTAAGTATTAATTGCTGGTATGCAATTCATTGATATCTACTTTATTATGGATCTTGAAATATACTATGCTGATTACACCTAAACCGGTCAAGTGGTGTCCGGGGTTTTATCTAAACCGAACAAGGGGKGTCCGGATATGWTTTAAATCGCCCAAGAGGCAACCGGATTTCATCTAAACWGGTTGAGTGTTGTCYGGATATCATTTTAAACCGCCTAAGTGTTGACCGGATGTGTATTTAAACCGCTCAAGGCGTGGTCAATGTAACCCTCTTAATATTATAAGTGTTTGTCCGGACTTCATATCCGGACAAGGCTGAYCGGACTTCAAATCCGGATAATGTGTTAGAATTTTTGATATATTCTAACGAGAGAGATGTAATGGCGGTGTAACCGCGARAGAGATGTAATGGCGGTGTAACCGCGARAGAGATAAATGAGTATATGTATCTGAACAGGTTTGATTCTGAACGGATTGTTTTAGAAAGTGTTTATTTGTTTGAGATTTATGCACTCACTAGACCTTTTTGGTCWAACGCTCAGTTGTTGGACTAACCTGTTTTGCAGGTMATCATAYCTCGCAAGATAAGGGCAAGGGAAAMGTTTAGAATGAATARCATTTAGTTATTCATAAATGTATTTATAGAAAGTTTTTCTTAATCTGTATAATGTGAACGATGTTACATTTTGTATTATAAGTATAATGATGTGGATTATCTGTACATGGAATATGTGGGTTGTTACAGTTGGTATCAGAGCCTTAGTTTAAGGAATCTGGGTATTTGCAAAATACTAAGACTTAAACTAGAGGTGCGGAAGTTATGATAATAGGTTTCACTAGGTCTATGAACATGGGAATATGTTATAGCTGAACCTATTATGAGAAAGATAGATTATATATGATTGATATAATCTGAGTTATGGATAGACTTGAGGATAAATGTGTTATTATGTTTTGATTATTAAAATAATCATGTGTGTTTAAATGTGACAGAAAGAGTTAGATACTGAGAAATGGCAGATAATCCCAATCAATCAAAAAGGACCTCTACTGGTTATGGAAGAGGTCGGGGAAGAAGAAACGTAACACAAGAAGAGGACCCGGAAAATATGATGACGATAGAAACATGAAGTCGTAGTAGGGGTCGAGGAAGAGGTAGAGGTATTAGACAAGAACATGAACGGTCGGTTCAAGAAAGTTCAATGTCTAGTCATGGAAGAGGAAGGGCAAGGGGTGGACACATGTTCCTGATCCCGGATTTATTACCCAAAAAATATTGGCAGCAGAGTTGGGAAAGTTCCAAGAAAGTTTGGTGAATTTGTTGGGGCGTACAACCCAAAATAATCCAGAAGTGGTAAGAAATCCCGATTATCAGGAGGAAGCCGGAGCTACTACACCGGTAACTGGTACATCTGTACCCTTTACTTCGTCCTCAGTACAAAAAGGAGGAGATATCAAAATGTTTCTTGCTTGTAAACCTCCCAAGTTTTCTGGTGARCGTGATCCTGTTAAAGCTATGTGTTGGCTTAAGGAGATAGAGTTGAGTCTGCAAATCAGTAAAAGTGCAGAAGAGGACAGAGTCATGTTTGTTGTATCTCGTTTAAGATCAAGTGCTTTGTACTGGTGGGAAGTCCTATCCAGTTCAAATCCGAACATTTTGAAGACCATGTTGTGGGAAGAATTTGTGGTTAAGTTTAAAATGCAGTATTGTCCTGAAGCTGCAGTACGAAAGTTGGAAGATGATTTCCTTCGTCTTGAGCAAGGAAACATGTCAGTCCGCCAGCATACAGAAGTTTTCATGGAACAATCTAGGTTTGCTAAAGCCTATATAATATCTGAAAACAGTAAAGTGAGAAAATATATCAGGGGGCTGGAGTCGAATCTTCGAAAATATGTGATATCCAGAAATCCGATAAAATTTCAAGCGGCAGTTGATGCAGCTGAAATACTAGAACAATATATTAACCGACAACCACAAGAAAAGGTTGGAGAGAAAAGAAAAGGGGAAGCTACAGTAACTGATTTCCGTAGACCGAGGTTTATGAAAAATTTGAATCGGCCAATCTCAAGATTTACTGATAGGGCGTGTACCCGATGTCATAAGATACATCAGGGAAATTGCAATACCGAATCTCGAGTATGCTTTAAATGTCAGAACCAGGACATATAGCTCGAGACTGTCGGATGACGCGGAGGTGTTTTACTTGTAATTCATCTCAACTTGTAAATGCCGATTGTCCACAAGCAAAGAGTCGAAGGTCTGGTTTTGTTGGAGGAAGGGGATCTGGATATTCTGGAGGTCGAGGATCTGGGTATGTGCCAACAGGTCGTGGACAAATGGATAATCGTGTGAATCCAAGTGGACGGGGAAGGATAAGACAAGCAAAGTCTAATGCAAAAGGGAGAGCCTTTCAGATGACGAGAGGCGAGGCAGAAGAGCACCCTGAAGTGGTAACAGGTACATTCCTTGTTAATTCAGTGTGTGCCAAAGTTTTATTTGACTCGGGTGCAAATCGTTCTTTTGTGTCACCGTCGTTTGTTAATTGTGCACATTTAGAATCTAAAGCGTTGAGTGAGGATTTAATTG